CTTCATTTTGTACACATTCACAAACATAATAACGTATTCAAGTTTGAATTTGTTTGTTCCCTCAACAACTCGATTTTGTCGTCGCATACTTCCGGCATACAACGCAGTACATCACCAACTCCTCTTTGCTGTACTCGAGCCATTGGCTGTGTTCGAGATAAGCCAGTTCTGCGCAGATTAGACCAGCGGTGATCGGCGAGCAGTGCATGCCGGTTAGATTTGTGTCCGACTTGACGCCGACCTGCTCTGACGTCATGCATACGTAGACAACAATAACCTCGTGAGATCAAGGCGACCGCAGATTTTGGAGCAAGGCGCTGCAGTTGCTCTCCACCAGCTGCAAAACCTAGGGGATGACGGGAAACGCTTGGCTCTCACCTGATCTAAGATCTGATTGGTTCATATTTTGATCCAAGCATCCGGTGGTAGAACATGAAATGTTAGCTGGTCACATGCATTCTGTAAATCATGCTACGTTGATGATGACAACTATATAGGCCATAAAGAGAAATGTGTTTTGTGTTCTTTTGTCACGTTTCCTATGAGCACACTGAACCTACAGCTGCTAACCTTTACTTATTATTACAGTCATGTCTCCATATGCAATATATGACATCCACAAGCACGTGAAGATGTGTTTCAGCTGCTAACAGGCACCAGAATTAAAATAAATAATTAAACAAGTGTGAACGCTATCTTCAAACATCGTCACCCCCGAGCTACACATGAAGGGAAATCTGTCCGACTTAAACGCCGGCTTTCAGCCACTCCCACCAGGCAGGGACTTAAACACACACTGCCATCACCTTCGGTTCTGAGCCCTGCTGCAGGCCAGGTCCGACCCGGCTTTCAGCCACTCCCCCTGCTGCTTCCGTCTGCTCTCGTCTGTTTTCCAGGCGAGGCGCTGCTCAACTCGAACACGGCCATTCTCTGCGCCTCCCGTCTTCTTTAAACTGCCAAGAATCATTCCACCTACGCACACGCTTCTCTGCTTCATACCGTTTCGAACTGTCTCGCTTCTCCTCACCAGTTTTAAAGCGTTTTGCCGGAGATTTCATCAAGAAATCCCATCCCTGTGGCGGCGGCATCTCCCTGCGTGCTTGTGTGTTTCTAGCGTGGTTCCACTTCGTCTTTAATAGTGAACTTATAGTTCACGTGACTATAACTAGAATGTGCTGTACGTGCACGAATCGTACAAGTGCAGTACGTGGCTAGAGGTGCGCAGGTTCACGCGCGCAAAATGAAAACGGCGGCTTCCTACAGGGCGGGGCCATGATGCAGGTGAAAGCCGGTGTGTAAATGACAAATAAGGCTTGGGCGCCACCCGGGCAGTAAGTCGTCAAGTATTTACTGCCCGACGAGAAAATGTTGCGCCATTGGCGCTCGGGCGCTTTAAAGGTCCACCCCTGGATGTGGTGGAACGGGAGGAGCTTCGTGGCCTGGATGTGCATCCCACAAGTCTCCATCAACTGCAAGATGCTATCCTATCAATATGGGCCAACATTTCTAAAGAATGCTTTCTGCACCTTGTTGAATCAATGCCACGTACAATTAAGGCAGTTCTGAAGGCGAAAGGGGGTCAAACACCGCATTACTATGGTGTTCCTTTAGGTGAGTGTAGAGCTGAAACAACTAATCGATTTAATCGATTATAATCGATTATTAAAATAGTTAACAACTTTTTTAGTCATCGATTAGTTGTTTAATAATCATATTTTACCGCATAAAGTCTATTTTTTACCACAATCTGACATCGGTTACAAGCTGTTAAATTTGCCGCCAGTGTGTGGCAGTAATGAGCCACTGATCTACCAGTGGAGCCGTAGAAGAAGAAATGAGCCAATGGGTGCCCTCGGTTTTCATGACGTATCACGTTACTGACGCTCATCTTGCTGTGAGAAAATGGCGGAACAAGAGGAAATACGGAAGAAAAATAGAAGCGACAAAACTGAAGAGAAACCCCGGACAAAAACCTCACGAGTATGGGAGCACATTTGAGACGAAAGCATGTGGGGGCTGATGCAGCAGAGGAAGAGCACCGCGGTCAAGTGAGCCGTCATTTGGAAGAGCCAGCCCGGTAAGTAACAGAAAATAAACAAGCTGGACTTAGTGTTTTAGCTGAGTTCGTTATAGTGGATGTTAAACATGTTTTTTTGCCGCGTCAGTCTGCGGTGTTCTACTTCTGATTGACTAGATGCAATCGTGAATCTCCTCCGTGTTGTGTATCATGCGCTTGCCAAATTTAGCACGTCTGTTTATAAGAATGTTCTCGTTAAGAGAAAAACGGCACAAACCCATAACTATGTTCCTCATTCAAAAAAGGACAACTCCGCGGAGAAAAATATACAGACGAGCTGTGTCCAGGTGAATATAACGCGGCATAGTTGTACACTTTCAATTTTTAAATACAGGAGAAATTCAGAAAAAGTCATTTTTTTACTATTAAAAGGCTGTTTTACTATTTAACGCTGTAAAACGCCTCACAACACATTTTTATCATGTTTCTTAAACAGTATTACACAAAATAAACATTTTTCACATTTCTCTGGCTAATTTAAACACTCCCGACTCAAAGTAAAAACCTCATGAGCTTCTTACTTAGAGCTTTTTAATAGTAAAAATGTTTTACTTTTTTTCTGAATATCTCCTGTTGCGGGCTATTTTGTAGAACGTAACCCTCAAAATAAATGATCACTGTATATTGTTAATTAATTCAAATAATATAATATTGATTTAGTGTTGTAGTGTGTGTGCTGCTTTATTTTATATGTGTACTTATTTCAGTCTATTTGTGTTTCTTATGCAGAAAAAAACAAGCAACGATGGACAACTACATGGGGAAGAAGACACTCACCCCCCAGCAATTCATACCACTTACAAACTCTATTCTAAACATGCTGGTAAAAGACATGAGGCCACTATCCATGGTGGAAGGAGCAGGCTTCCAGCTAATGCTAAAAATTATTCTGGACTGATATTTTGCACTGTTTAGCTCATTTTATACTGCTGACTGTGTTCATGTGCAATAAAATAGATTGCAGTCAACTGCACAATTCTCTTATGTTTTTTTGTTCTTAACTGAAATGCATCCATCACTTGTATAGGTTAAATAGCTAAACAATAACAAACCGATTAATCGATTAATCGAAAAAATAATCGACAGATTAATCGATTATGAAAATAATCGTTAGTTGCAGCCCTAGGTGAGTGTATCATGATATATCATATCGTCCCTCTAAGAAACCTCTGTGTTGGCGAAAGGGGTGGTGCCTGAGGTCTTTGATAACCTCCCACTTTGAACTTGTAAGCTGTTGATTTGTTTAAATTGATAAACAAAAGTTAATAAAAAGAGTTGACAATTCTTTAAAGGTTACAGCTCCTGAAGTGAGAGAAATCATGCACCCATCTGATAAACAAATTTTGCTGTGCCGGTGCGACCAGCTGATTGGCTGCTGGTGTAGCCTGTCAAGATCTTGAGTGGTTGCACCCGTGGGTGCAGCATAAAAGGCTGTTTGGTGTAACTCCAAAGGGAGGAGACTGATTAGAGAGATCTCCTTGATGGCTCCTCCCTGTGTGGCAGTTGGGGAGGCCATTGGAGGCTGATTTTAACATGCAACAAATACTCTCATCTTCCACAATGTGTCCAAACCTCCTCCTTATGTTGCAATCCCACAAGCAGAGTTTTAACTAATCATCCGGGATCATCTGGACTCTATGGAGGAGGTTGGATTCGTTGGTACTGTAGCAGTTTGGTTTTTGCGTTTTTGTGTATGTTGCTGGTCTTGGTTCAGTTTGCTATGCGGCTTCATTTCCATGTTCTGCTAGGCCCAGTGCTTCGATGTGGGTGTTACGGCTACCAGCCTGGCCAGTGAGATTCAGGAGCCAGGATCACCCAGCCCCAGTGATCAGCCTGACACCGCCCCTCCTCCTCTCTTCCAGGCTGCTGAGGAGCACAGCTGAGCTGAATCCTGCTGATTACCAACACCTGGATTAAAAGGCTGTGCCTTCAGCAGTCTAGGAGGCAGCAGTGCAGGGGTTCTGCTGTCCTCCAGGCCTCAGTTTGGTTTTAACCCCTTCGTTTTGAGATGAGTTTCTGAGTTATGAGCTTTTAAAAGGGTGAAGCTCTTGGATGATCCAGAGGGATCTTTTGATGTTTGTTAATTAAAAAGGTTAACTTGGTTTGCTGCAATTTGATTGACTCTGGTTTTAAACACCTTCTGTTTGGTAAAGCTTTTAATATAAGCTTTTACCAGGTGTTTTTTATAGTTGGTAATTTGTGTAATGTTAACCTTTTTGAGAGTTTTTGTTAGTTTTGTATATCTTTATGATGCTCGCCATCTGTTTGCTCGTTTTTAGAACCTTTTACAACCATTACAACCATTTTAAATCCAGTGTCGCAATTCTTATGTTACCCTCTCCTTCACATTTTAACATCTCCTGTCAGGGATGTAACAGTGGGACTCATTGTGTTCACTACCAAGAATAAAATACTTTCACACAGTGCTCATTCTTGACTGCTTCATCTTTGAGTAAATGTATTTGTTCATGTGACAAGCTCACTTCTTCTCTGGTTTTCTAATAAACATGTTTGATAGCGGTGTTGTTGCGCCATCTAGTGGCACAAAAAGTATTACACCCAGTTAACTGGGTGAAACTTTTATTCGATTATGACAATAATGACAATAACCCGTTAACCGGTTAACTGTGTACATCCCTACTGTAAAGACATCAATAACACACAGGACGACTGATGAACGTGCATAGCAAATGGGGAGAAGGTTGCAGGTTCAAGAACCGCTCAGTCTGTTGCAGTTGTGTCCATAGGCAAGACTTCATCCACTTTTCCTGATGGTTGTGGGGTGGGGATGGGGGGATAGAACACTAGAAAGCTTCATTCAATTACAGGTCATTATTTTAGACTTGATCTCACAGATGACGTACTTATAAATACTCTCTTGTGTACCACCATACAGAGACAACAGTATTCATTCATTCATTACCTGTGTCCATGTCGTCCAGAACAAATGATGAATCAGTCCCAGCTGATGGATGATCCTGAAGTGGTAGCAGGTTTTCTTTAGTCGTGTTTAGCTAACAGCTGCAATAGAAACAAAGCAGGAGCTGATTAAGACGCTGCTTCAGAAGAACGCAGGAGATTAAAGATCCAACACTTTGGTTCTGATCAGCTGAGGACACATCCAGTCTGGAAAACAGGACATTTGGTCACCAGAGTTCACGGAGTAGAGCTGACCACTTTTTCATCCAGAGCCACACAGTGTTTGCCTTACATAGGCTCAGCTGCAGTAAGGCTAAAATAGCAGCGCCATGGCTACACCCCCCACCCCCCCCCCCAACCCCCCCCCCCCCGAAGCACAAGAGCAAAGCTGTCTGACCTGGAGACCATGGTCTCAGATTAAGTGCTTATTTTCATCTAGGGATGTCCCGATACAACATTTTCACTTCCGATAAAATACCGATATTGCAGCCTTCACCGATACCGATATCGATACGATATCAGCGCAAATCATACATACTTCTAACAGTTTTGCAATGTGAAATGTTAAGGCTGCCACAATTAGTCGACACGTCACAACGACGATGACAAATAAAATAGTCGAGGACTAAATTAACAGTCAATGGGTCATTTACTCTATTGTGTTTTTTTTTACTTTGCCTGCTGCAGCACGTTTGGCGGTTTCTTCCTGCCTCTCTGCTCAGCTGCCGCTTGCTTTAGCTCCGAGGCGCATGCGGGGTAGTAATCATCCAGATTAGCCTCACTAGAGAAAGAAAACATGGTGAGTCTGCAACGTAGCTCAAAAGTTTGGGAACATTATAAAAGGTCAAGGAAAGGCACGTAGACTGCAAAGTCTGCAAAGTGAAACTCTCCTTTCACGGGAGCACAACGGCGATGTACGAGCACCTTAAGAGGAAGCACGTCACGGCGGTGAAGAATGAGTTGCCATGGTAAGTTTACCTCTTGGTAACATCAACAGAACACGTATTCATAGATGTAGCAACACTAGTAGCGGTATTACCTTTAGGACACGTTTGTATGTCACATATTTTTGCTCTAATTACAAACGCTAATGATTTATTTCATCCCGCATATATTTTTTATTATCTTTTATCTTTATGATAAAGTAGACCCTCAGAGCTGTCAATGACCCCCTGACTGCTGATGCGTGGACCAGCGTGGTGTGTTCTGCCATTTCATGATTTAAGATTGGAAAATGAAGCTCTTCAACCTTGCCACCATGCCTTGTGTGAACACAAGTAATTTTTGTGTAGTTTATTTTTGGTTTTAGGTGTCTACCTCCATCTGACCATAGCATTTGTATTAGCAGGTAACAAAGTTAATTAAAAGTTGTTTGATAAGCTATCATCATCTCTTCATTATTAGAAGCCACAGAGCTGATCACACTTCAAACTAGAAGCTAAGGATGGCTATATTAGAGCATTCTTGTGATATAAGCTATACTTTTATGAATGACACGATTAGTCGATTAATCATCAACAAAACTGGCGATTAGTCGACTATTAAAACAGTTGTTTGTGGCAGCCCTAGTGGAATGTATGAAAGGCTTGACCAAGTGATATGACTCAACTGGAGAACAAGAGCCAGCAACAGTATGAAAACAAGAATTATTTTAACCATGGGTGGCAAAATTGTCAACCTTAACATAATGTATAACAAATGAGTAAAAAATAATAAAAATAAATTAAAAGACTCTGAAAATATTTTAAGTAAATAAACAAACAAAACTTTTCAAAGTACAAATTACTAATTCAAGGTCATTTCAGTTATGTTTTACTGTCAGCAAACGGTAGGAACTGCAGAGGGCAGGGACAATATTGTCCATTTACCAACTGCTACAAGTTGAGTGTCCCAAGATTCAATTTCACACACAGCAAATCCTCATGCTGTGTTTTGTGATGCTGCTTCAAATGTACGATGAGGTTGGACATATAAAACATTCCTGGTGCTGTTCCACCACGGGAAGCTTGTGCATGGCAAGTGTTGTACTGAGCCACACTGTCTTTTATGGACTAACAAAAATTACTGCCACACGGCTGACATTGCTCCCTGCTACTTTGCTAGCACACACTGTTCTGATCACGTAGGAATTGCATGCTGGATCTGGGAGCTGCTGGATAGAATTGCTGGAATGAAATTTAAAGCGGAATATACTGCTTATATCAGTTTTTCATGCAGTCCGATATAATCCAATACAGTGTTTCTGGGCTGATATCGAATTACTTCCGATATCTATGTCGGAACTGGGCATCCCTATTTTCATCCCAGCTGCTTCACACTCGGCTGCAAATTGCTCCAGCAAAAGCTGGACATCACGGCCCGATGAAGCCTTAAATCTGGTTTATTATTCATTTGGGTAGGAATGGGCCATATGGCCCAAAATCTATATCACATCATTTTCTTTTCTTCTATTTATTTTTGTCAATATGAATTTTAAAAGAAATTAATGTCAGCAGAACATATACTTCTAAAAATTATGGAAGAAAATTTGTAAATTGGTCAAGTAGATTTTATGTTGTGTTATGATTCACTCGTCAAACAATGCAACACAAAAATCCTCATAAAATGAATAAAATTGGAGATATTTAAAGAAAACCGAAGTTACCATACAAATAAACAAACAGCAAAACCGGCGAGAAATGCTGGCAGGGAAGGCCTTTAGCGATCAGGAAACGGCTGGCAGCGAATGAGTTAAGGCCAATATATATATATATATATATATATATATATATATATACATACACACACACACAGTCAGGTCCATAAATATTGGGATATCGACACAATGCTCACATTTTTGGCTCCAAACACCACCACAATGGATAACAAATCAAACGAACAAGATGTGCTTTAACTGCAGACTGTCAGCTTTTATTTGAGGGTATTTACATCCAAATCAGGTGAACGGTGTGGGAATTACAACAGTTTGCATAAGTGCCTCCCACTTGTTAAGGGCCCAAAAGTAATGGGACAAAGCTGTTTCATGGCCAGGCGTGTGTTATTCCCTCATTATCCCAATTACAATGAGCAGATAAAAGGTCCAGAGTTCATTTCAAGTGTGCTATTTGCATTTGGGATCTGTTGCTGTCAACTGTCAAGATGAGACCCAAAGAGCTGTCACCATCAGTGAAGCAAGCCATCATTAGGCTAAAAATCAAAATAAACTATCAGAGAGACAGCAAAAACATTTGGCATGGCCAAAACAACAGTTTGGAACATTCTCAACAAGAAGGAAAGCACCGGTGAGCTCAGCAACACTAAAGACCAGAAGACCACGGAAAACAACTGTGGTGGATGACCAAACAATCCTTTCCCTGGTGAAGAAAACACCTTCACAACAGTTGGCCAGATCTAGAACACTCTCCAGGAGGTAGGTGTGTCTGTGTCAAAGTCAACAATCAAGAGAAGACTCCACCAGTGTGAATACAGAGGGTTCACCACAAGATGTAAACCACTGGTGAGCCCCAAAAACAGGAAGGCCAGATCAGAGTTTGCCAAACAACATCTAAAAAAGCCTTCACAGTTCTGGAACAACATCCTACAGACAGATGAGACCAAGATCATCTTGTACCAGAGTGATGGGAAGAGAAGAGTATGGAGACTAGGGATGCAACGGTATGCGGTAAAATACCGGACCGTACGGTACGCCCTGCACGGGACAATCCGCCCTCCTGTCCCGCGGGACTTCGGTACTCCCATTGATTTTGCGCTGCTCTTTTATTTCATGCTTGGCACCATGCGCGTTTGCCGGTCCAGGTAGATGAAAGGCCCACCCCCAAGTTAATGTCCAATCACCATTGTGCATCCGCGTCCTCACTCACAAACTCTTACTACAGGTAGGCGGCTGGCTGAGAACGAAGAGACACGAGGAAATGGCGAGCTGCAGTGGAGTTGAAAGGAAAGAGTTTGAAGAGGCACCAGGCTCTTTTAAATCTTTAAATTTGGTTTTCAACATTTAATGAAGACGCTCGACCGACGTTATTCTGTGCCCAGTCGCACACATTTTAATCAGGTCGTCATCCCTGGTCTTTACGACAAAACGCGCAACGCCATCGAGAGTGATTTGGCTAAGGCAGAAAGCCTCGCACTGACAACTGATAGTTGGACTTCTCAGGCAACGCAGAGCTACGTGACTGTGACAGCTCACTACATGCTGGACTGGGAGATGAAGCGCCGTGCTGCAGACTCGCCCCCTCTATGAAAGCCACACAAGTGCGCATTTAGCAGAAGAGATAAAAATGCAGTCACCGAGTGGAAGCTGGAGCGGCCAAACAAAACTATACCCGTCGCCACAGACAATGCTCCAAACATTGTTAATGCAGTTAATGAAACTGTTGAGCTGGGACCCCAGATTAGCGGTTTTGCTCACACTGTGAATCTCGCTGCAAAGAGGGTTGTGTCAATCAACGGTGTGTCCCGCCTCCTTGGGAAAGTGAGGAAAGTTGTCACCTTTTTTCACCGCAGCACCACAGCCAACCAAGCACTTGGTTCATTTATTCCATACTGTGATGTTACAGCACAAGCTAACTCCTGTTTGTTAAAACGCAAAATGCACTTTTACTTTTGCATTGCTTACCTCATGTATCACGTATCATGGTTGGGAACCATTAGAATATTTTCAAGTGTCTTTGTTTACATTTTGTAATTTTTTTATATATATTTTGTATTGCATACAAGTGATAATTGAAAGAGGGTATTAGTGTTCAATGCAGAGAATGTTAACTTATTTCATATACTGATGTCCTTACAATTGTGACATTCTGTTTTCGCTCTGAAGAAAAATAAAATGCATGTTTTAGAATAAACGCTGTCTCCTTCTGCACAAACATGTACCGAACCGTCCCGTGGACCGTGGCCTAAGTACCGAGGTACGGACCGTACCGTGGGCTACCTGTACCGTTGCACCCCTAATGGAGACGAAAAGGAACTGCTCATGATCCTAAGCATACCACCTCATCAGTGAAGCATGGTGCTGGAAGTGTCATGGCGTGGGCATGTATGGCTGCCAGTGGAACTGGTTCTCGTGTATTTATTGATGATGTGACTGCTGGCAAAAGCAGCACGATGGATTCTGAAGTGTTTCGGGCGATATTATCTGCTCATATTCAGCCAAATGCCTCAGAACTCGTTGGACGGCGCTTCACAGTGCAGATGGACAATGACCCAAAGCATACTGCAAAAGCAACCAAAGAGTTTTTGAAGGGAAAGAAGTGGACTGTTTTGCAGTGGCCAAGTCAATCACCTGACCTGAATCCGATTGAGCTTGCATTTCACTTGCTGAAGACAAAACTGAGGGGAAAATGCCCCAGGAACAAGCAGGACCTGAAGACTGTTGCAGTAGAGGCCTGGCAGAGCATCACCAGGGATGAAACCCAACGTCTGGTGATGCCTGTGTGTTCCAGACTTCAGGCTGTAACTGACTGCAAAGGATTTGCAACCAAGTATTGAAACGTATAAGTTTGATTTATGGTTCTTATTCTGTCTCATTACTATTGGTCCCTTAACAAGTGGGAGGCACATATGAAACTGTTGTAATTCCTACACCGTTCACCTGATTTGGATGTAAAAACCCTCAAATAAAAGCTGACAGTCTGCAGTTAAAGCACATCTTGTTCGTTTCATTTGATACCCATTGTGGTGTATAGAGCCAAAATGTTAGCATTGTGTCGATGTCCCAATATTTATGGACCTGACTGTAAACACACACACACACACACACACACACACGCACACGCACACATTTTAGCAGCACAGATTGTGAAAGACAACTCACTGTGTGCAATATAACTTAAATAAGTCAATAAATATTTTAATTTATTTTACTTTGTTGAATAAAACAAACTCAAAACAATAATGTGCTAACTGTTTCAGAAGAACAATAGAAACATACGAAAAGCTGCGTTATGTTTTTGTTGATAGATTTATTATATGATTATCATTATTATTATTATTATATTTAATTACTTAATATCTGTAGCAGCTCTTATTGAGCAGAACCAAGTGTCATCACAAGCTGCTGATCTAGCATGATGCTCTTTATTATTTTATGGGTTACAGATGAGTGTTGTGTTGATGCTCCGTGTTTTAATTTCTGCAGCGAGCCTTAACTCACCTCACTCCACCCAGAGTTTCTTCTTTAAAACTCATATTAAATCTACTGACTTGGTGCATTTTAACGAGTTTCCTCCGCACCGTATTTTCGTGGTAGGATACAAACTTCACAGCACTCTCACGGAGTAAAAGTTCAGCAGATATGTTTGTTTACATTATTGCTGCTGCGCGCCTACAGTGCGAGGGAAAGGAAGGGAGGGGCAACACGATGCTGCGTTCAGGGTATCTCTAGGCTCCAGAGTTGCAGTGACGGACAGCTGGTTTGACTGGCTCTGAGAGGCGTTAATTAGAATTTGCAGATCACATTTTTAACGGACATCGGCTGCGGATTCTTCTTCCGGTCGGCGAACTGGGCATCGAAACTAGACATTGAAACGGAAAACTTTGATTCCGGTAAACACAGTAAATCCCGGTTCCAATCGATGCCCAACTAATGTTTGACACTTTTCAATCTTCCGTTTATGACTTTATTTTACTAACAAACCCCAGTAAATGTAATCACGCTGGCGCTAAACAAACTAGCATCCGAAGCAAACATGTTTCAAGCCTAGTACCAGAATGCTAAACGGGTTACGTGACGAGTTGGATGACTACTCGATAAACACATTTTGAAAGCTAATGAACATTGCATGTTCTTTCTTGTAAAGATGAGGAAAGAAATCTTACCGTATATAGGTGAGCTGGAGCACAGCGCTGTTGAGTGGGCTGGCTCACGTGTGCTGGCCGCTGGGGTCCTTCGGGTCCTTTCTTCAGTCTAGTAGTGGTGGCAGTTGGCCACACAGGTGCCAGATTTTTATTTTTTATTTATCAGGTTTTAAAAATAATTTGGGCCGACATAGAACATTTGAATGTATCGGCCAGATATTTCGGCCATCCTCAAATAGAAAGGAGTGCGAGAAGGAAACTATTTGAGGACACACAAGAGCAGCAAAACATGAAGCACAAAGCACAATAAAAAAATCAGCCATAACAGACCACTGTAAAAGAGAAAATCATATAATGGGCTGGAATAACACACGGATCATAAACACAGAACAACAAAAGTTTAAAAGATGGATTAAAGAAGCAGTTGAAATAAGGAGGCGTGGACCCAGGACCATGAACAGGTACGAAGGAGTCTACACGCTGGACCATTCATGGGACACTGTACTGTGATCAGCAGAAGGGCACGGGCAGCAGAGAGCAATACCGTCTTCTGCTGCCGGTGTCGGTACAGGATCTGCTTGGGTGCAAGATCGAGTAAGGTCTAGCTGCAGACGCAGCCCCTACAAACCACTCCCCCGACAAACCACGCCCCCGACCAAACACGCCCCCATGTGCCTGTAAGCTGAAGACCAAAGAATCAGCAGTGATCTTCTTATATCATTTATCACTCAGGAGGATAAAGGCCTACTGCTACATCTGGAAGTGAGTTTTAAATTTATAATTAAATTTGCACACTGTGACTAATTTCAGTCAAAACATGACTCATGAATTATTCAAGTGAAACATTTTCTGCTAACCTAGTGTTTGGACATTTACTTTGAGCATCCTCCAAAAATATCTCTATATTTACAGGCAATCATTAAAAAGAAAAAGAAAACATGAAAGCAGCACCATGGTCAGTGAAGACCTTACTCCTGCCTGTTTGAAAATAGGTCACCGCTTTCAGGGATGGAATGATTCTGACACAGCAGTAGTCCCACAATTATCAGTTGTTGTATTTAGCTTTTCCAATGTGTTTTGGTTGATTTGTTGATGTTAAAAAGCAGAAAGTTTGATATGTTGTCAACTTTCAATGGTGGTGGTATAATAAGTGCAAATGTCAATCCTCTTTGGATAACTGTAAAACAAACTGATACGATTATTTGCTTTCCTCTGAGTACACAGGACACCGACCATGTGTATTTTAAGACACCTTACACCTTTCCACCCAGAGAGCAGGTGAATATGAGTGAAGATTATTGCATGACAACAAAATAAAATTAATTTTAACTGCTGTGCATGAAGTCATGTTTTTTGTGTGTCGTGATTAAGGACAATGACGGCATGGACCAACACAACATGGTCACCACAACCAGAGATGTTGGGATCCTGAGTAAAGACATGTTTTACGACAGGCTTGTGGTAAGGACATGCAAAGGACCAAGAAACAATTTATTTAATCTGCTTAACCAGAATAATTCTGTTAAGCATCTAAATGGTTTTTGATCTAATTTTAGGAAAGGGCTCAGCAAGCTGAAGACCAAAGAAGAGTCAGCAGTGATCTTCTTATATCATTCATCACTCAGGATAAAGGCCTACTGCTACATCTGGAAGTGAGTTTTAAATTTATAATTAAATTTGCACACTGTAACTAATTTCAGTCAAAACATGACTCATGAATTATTCAAGTGAAACATTTTCTGCTAACCTAGTGTTTGGACATTTACTTTGAGCATCCTCCAAAACATCTCTAAATTTACAGGCAATCATTGCAGGAAACGTGTCATCCACCTGGCCTACATCAAAGGGCAGGGTGGACATTTTCTTTGAGGAGGATGAGCAGCTGGACAAAGTGATGGGCTTCTTGACAAGCCTGGTTGAAGCACAGACAACCAGATGTCACAATCAAGTGGCATTCATGATGGATGTGCTTCTGCCAGAGGTACGTTCTGAAAATGTTTATGTATCACATGAAAATATTTTGTAGCATTACTGTTGTCAGCCTATAACTCATGGTTAATATCTTGTTACCTGCAACATGACAGACTAATGTCTACATGAAAGATGTCCTTTTGTTCACCTCATTACTCAGGCAACCATCCATGCGCTTTCAGCTGTCCGTGAATGTTGACCGGACAAAGCCACAGAAATGTACAGCAGTGGGCTGCAGTATGACTGGAGGTATTCTACAAACACAAGAACAGTGCTAATGCCTATATGTATTGTTTTCACCTTGTTTATGACAGCCTCTAGGTGTGAGATTAGTGTATGGTCAATATCAGTTTACTAGTCTTGTGAATTGTATACTTAATTCAAAATATTTCAGTAATTTCTAAATCAATACATCTTGTGTCAAAGGGCCAGCAATTATTCCTGTTAACAGAAAATATGAAATACATATATACACATGTAAATATGCCTAAAAATTACACATCAGCAGCTTTTCACTGTAAAGAAGCAATAAAAAAATCATAAATAGTAACATAAATATTAACTACACACTCGTATGAACTTAGACCTACTGTTAGTGCCTGTAATAACAAATGGTTGAAAGTTAAATGTTGCTGTAGGAGGCGTGCTCCCACATAAATGGAGGCTAGTGGGCTTAAGGGGTTAATTAAAACGATTACCACTAATTACTTTTTCTGATATTTTATTTTATTGAATTTAAAATAAACACTTGCACATACATTGCTCACCTGCTAACTTAAGTAAGCATAGGTATGTTGTGCCTATTGTCCGGCAACTGATTATTTGTTGGTGGTATCTGTGTTTTATAATCTCACTGGGGATGGCCAAAAAGTGTGTATGCAAGAAAAAAAATATCCATACATTCATATTTAAACCTGGAGTCCTGTCTGTTTAATTACATTGTTACTATTTCTGTATAAACGTATTCTTTCAATTGTATTGTTCGCATTGAAAGGCGTTTGATATGAATCAAACCCCAATCTCCTCTGCTGGAGCCTGAGGCGGGGTGCTGCACCCTGGGTCTGACCCAGGTTTCAGCTCCCCTGCCCCGCTGGGAGGGTTTGAAACACCGCCATCATCTGCTGGAGCCTGTGGTGGGCTGCTGCGGACCGGATCCGACCCAGGAATGAGCTCCCCTGCCCTGCTGGGAATTAAAAACACAGCCCGATCACCTGCTGGAGCTGACAGCGGGATGCTGCGCCCTGGATCCAACCCAGGTTTAAGCTCTCCCCGCCCGCTGGGAGGGCTGCCGTTATTGAGATATTTTCCTTTTCTGACCACCAGGGGAGCTCGGGGGAGCTCAACAGGCACATGGGGCGTGTTTGGTCAGGGGCGTGTTTTGTCGGGGGTGTGGTTTGTCGGGGCTGCGTCTGCGGCTAGGTATTGGCTGTGTCCGAATCCAGAGGAAGGATGCTTGTGAGTACGGGTCCTCGCCGGTCTAGCAAGGCTGGGTCCTTGCAAGACAGCTAAAACCGGAAGTCAGCGGCTCTGAATTCGGACAGTACTCGCCTTGTTTTTATTCCCGCCCCCAGGCCAAGTTGCCTAGCTACCGTGACGGCGGCAAACAGGCTAACAAGCTAACAAGCTAGTAGCAACGTTGAAAATGGATCCACAGCAATATTTCATTTTATTTGTGGTTTTTGAGGAGCTGCGACGGCTCAATAAACGTCACCGGCCTTTGTATTTAAAGTTTAAAAATCATTTAGTCCTGTTATCTGCTAGAGTTACAAGTATTATACTCATGATCTCCTTTTTTGCATATATCTGAATGTTAGTGATGTGACAGCCGTCGATTGAGCCAGCCCAGCAAACCCTTTTGATGGACGATGCAGTGGTCAGTGAGATGAGGCATCCAGAAGCTCCCTCTGCAGACCACTCTGTCTGATGTTCCACTTGCCAACCAGAAACGTTCAGCCACGGATCTCGGTTCCTGCACTCCATCCACCTCGATGATCCATGTTTAGTAGATTTAGCAACACCACCAAAGACTCCCTGCTTTCCAAGTTTACTGTATATATTTTACTTTTATCTTTACTTTTATTCCTTACAGTGTTCCCTTACAATTTATTTACTATGTTGTTACTTGTTAAAAACTGAATAATAAAGCTGTTAATGATCCAAAAAGAGTTATCAATTAATAGAAATTTTATTACATTTAAACAAATAACAAAAACATTCAAACACATATATAGAACCTGAACCAGAAGAAACTAAAAGAAAAAAAACATTTCTCTGCCATCCTTTCCATCAATGCTAAAAATCTGTCCATCCTTCTTCCTCTCCTCTCCTCCGCTTCCCTCTGTTGTCTCATGTCCTCCCTGATCAGGTCAAGGAGCTCATCAGCCCTTCTCCTTTTTCTCCCTGATGAGGAGTCCGGCTTCCTTCCACCACTCTCCCTGTCCTCTGTCTCACCCACTGCTGCACTTGGCCCTGGAGTGTCCTCGGGAATGGAAGCAATAAGGACAGGAGGCATAGTGGAAGGCCTCTGTCCCAACACCTCGTCCATGGGGACAAACCAGGGCCAGGTTTCAGCAGCGGGCTTTCCGCTGACTCCCTCTCCTGACCCTGGATACTTGCAGTCCTACAGACAAAGGGAATTGGAATTACAAGGCTTTATTGTCATTTAACAACAGAGAACACTGTGGGCATAATGAAATTACAGATGGTACTGGTTCTGGATGAGAATAGAGAGGAATAGAAGAACAAAGTCAGATTATAAATCATAGTTGATAAAACATGGAATAAACAATATTTTAATTTATCAACATGGGAGATGACAATTGTGTTCTGTGTTTTTTCCTCCTAAAATGAAATTAAAACCATTAAATCAGTAATGTGGTTTCTTAAAAATTAACTTAAATAAACATTAAACTTAGTTATCGTTATTTTTGGCGTTCGTTACATGATTACATAAGATGCAAGCTCTTTTACGGTGAGTTTGTTCCTATTAGACATTCAAGCAAGTTTACGGTGGGGTGTTAACCTTAAAACAAATGATGAGAAGCTTTATTCGCTAAATAAACACACACACACGGAAATTATGACGGGACCACCATACAAGCTCGTTCTCGCTGATTTCTGCTTAAAATGTACTTATACAAACGACAAATGTCTATAAACAGAACCGCTTTCAGCTTAGTTTTCTACCGCTATTGTCTTTTAAAAAGCCTGCTGGGATCAAGCTAGTTTACGGTGGTTTTTTCCTATTAAACATTC